TGTCCTGAGGGCTCTGTGATATCTTAGGTGGTTTCATTTTCTTATGAAGAAATACCAGTCCATGTCCTGCAGTGGTCTGGCAGCACAGAAAGTGCAAGGTTGTTTGGAGCCCAGGGAAGTTGTTCTGGTGAGCTGCTGACCCCTGCTTTAAGAGCAAAATCCTTTCCAGGTAAAAGCAACACGTGGAACCACTTTGTCAGTTTGCCAAAGCAGCAAAATGCTCTGCCTGGGCAGCTCAGCATCGATTTTAACCTGGGGAGGGGTGCAGGCAGGTACATTTGCATGGGAATTAGTGGTTTTCAGCTGTTGCTGGGGCCCTGTGCATGACCTGAAGGGCAGCACCAATGGGATGGTCCTTCCCAAGGCTTCCTGCATCCAGCAGCCACATCCCCCTGGCTGGGATGGGTCTGAGCAGTTTTTTTTTTCTTTGTGACTCTTTCTGTACCGTGGCAAGCAAAAAGCCCAGAGCCTTGCTCTTTGAGCAGGACACAGAGTAGCTGGAAGTTCTCTCAAAGGCATGGATTCAGCTTAGGGATCCCAGTGTGGTTGTAACAGCCTGGTCACAGATAGAAAGCCAGATAAACTTCCCCAGGAACTGACCTGCAGAGTTTGAGAAGGCATAAAAAGCTTACTTTATTACAATCTCCCTATATTTGTAACCAACACTGTTCACCCAGAACCTGATTGGTTCTGAATAACACCTCTTACCCATTGGGTAATTAGGAACCACCCTTTGGTAAACACCTTATGAGAAACAACTGTTGAACACCAGCTGCAAGGTTGTTTTTAATTCTTTGTCTCAGTCTTCTCAAACTCTCCAGCACAATTCCTGGGAAAGCTTATCTGGCTTTCTCTCTCTGACCAGGCTGTCACAACCACAGGCCCATTGCCCATGAAGGGAGCTAAGGGGAGGCCATGTGTTGGTCTAAAAGAAGAAAAAACCCTAGACCCTCATGGAGCAATACAGATAATTATTTTGGTTATGTTTGTTTGAAGCACATTTAGGGGCTTTATTTGCATGTTAAAAGTGCTTTCCCTTCTCTGCTGAGCCTGATGCATCCCTGCTCCTCTTTGTGTCACAATGTGTCCTTCATTCCAAGGATAGGACAAGTGTTTGTTTCTGGGACCTCTGGTTCTGGCTTCAGTGAATGAATCCTAACAAGGGTGCCTTTCCTACCTGCTGCTCTTAAATCTACAGAGGATGAACTTGCTCCCAAATGCTTCAGGATGGTGAAATGAGAGGTTTAATTTATGCTGGTGGTTGTGTTAGACTGGCTCTGGCTGTCCCCTGCTCCCCTTGTGGTGTGTCCTTGTTCCGTCTGTGCAGTCATTAACAGTCTGGAAGGTGTTATTAATGGCAGGCTTTGATTTCCAAGATGCTCGGCCCTCCCTCTGGAGCTCTGCAGGGGTAACACCATCCTTTCCTCTGTATGCTGTGCTGGATATGCAGATCCTGCTGGTTTAGCCAGCACGTGTCCCCCAGGGCAGCTCTGTCCCTGGGCTCCTGGGGCAGTGATTTGTGTCACTGCAGGCACGTCCAGGCAGCCTTGGCCAGTCCTGCTGAATTAATTGATCCCTGCCTTTCTCCCTGCAGTGTGTATCTGCAAGGCACTGGCAGCAGAAGTTGGCAGGTTGGGAGGTTTTTCCAAGCTCAGTTGTGTTGGTGTCGTGCAGGTGAGCAGTCCTGCAGCTCCCAAACAAACCAGCTTTTGTCTATTGCCCACAGGCAGATGTGGGAACCATCTTGGGGGAATATTTTACTCCGCATTGTGCTGAGCTGTTCCAGTGGCAAGGCACAGCACAGCAGAGGATAAGCCTGTGCATTCTGAAGCCCAAAGCCAATTCTGGAAAGCTGTGCAGGGGAGGATGCCCACAGCAGCTGGCAGGCTGGGACTTCGAGTTATGTTTCTTCAGAGCAGAGCAGGGATTTCAGGTTTCCTTCATCAGGTTAGCAGCTCCACACCAAATAATTTCTTGACAGATGTGAGCACTTGCTCTTTCAGTTTGTATGGCTGTGATGTTCATTTACACCAGCTGCTGCTCAGTGCCCTGTCCTCCCTTCATGGATGGCTATTTGCTCTCACAAGGCTGGGCAGAGAAGGGGATTTGCAGAGAGCAGAACTCTTTCATCCAGCTGGCAGGAGACTCTGGTGGCTGTCACTCACAGTGTGTGGGTGGGACACTGCTGCCAGTCACCTTCCCTCTGCATCTGTCCCCTTCCCATCCCAGTCTGGTATTATGTTAAATGGATGCCAGGTGTGACATTCCAGAGGCCAGGCTCACTCCTGGGCTCCTCAGCCCTGCAGGCTCTTGTGCTGAGTCTCTCCTGTGAGCACCCAAGGTCAGACTGTCAGAACTGTAATGTTCTCACCTGGAAACTCAAATATTCATTGGCCAAATGAGCCATTGTATGATGGCTTTTATTTTTGCAAAGGATGTGTTTCTGATTTCTTTGTTCTTTGTTTCTGTGCCCAGCAGCCAGCAATGTCCAGACCTGCTGGGGACCAGCAGCTGGAAAACTGCCCACAGTGTTCCTCAGCTTTCATTAGATGGTGCAGAGGCAGGGAATGTACTCTACAAAATACACAGTTATATGAGAGAGAAAATGCTTTGTGGTTTTATTTTGTTTGTGGTTTTTTTACTTTCCTATAAGGAAGAAATAATAAAAAGCCTGGAGTACTTGCTTGCCTTAATTTTCACATTTAAATTTTCACATTCTGGCAAGCTCCAGGGATGTACTCATATGGTCCATATTTGTTTTGGGTTTTTTTAGAGCCTTTGGGAATCTTAGCCCTGTGGTATCAGGCACGACAGCAGACTCCTGCCTGAAAGGCAGCTCATCATCTCTTGAAGGAAAACTTCACTCCCCCCTCACCCTTATTTGCTCTCCCTATATTACCATAATGAAATGTCAGCTTGCCACCAGCTCTGCTGCTGAGCAGATGTTTCCTCCTAATTACTGTTGTTGCAGGGTTTGGGTGTTTATCCTGGCTGTCTAGGCAGGCTGTTATCATTGACTGCCTCCATCACAGCCTGGCCATGCAGTTGGTGCACATCTGGAAGCAGATGTAAGCACTGGTGCTCTCCAGCAAGTTTTGTCTGCTGGATCTCCAGAACAGCTCTTTAATGTGCCAAGGACAGCATCCCCCAACAGTGCTTTAAACTGAGGAGTGGGCCTTGCAGAAAAAAATACCTGCAAGTGTGACCTCCCCTCCCCAAGCGTGGCCTGCTGGAAAGTTGGTTTAAAAAGAGCAGAAATTTAAATGAAGTTTGTTCATTTTTGGTCCCAAAGCACAAATTGGGATGCTCCATAGGGCAGGCTGCCTTTGTGGCACTGTGCTGGTCAGGTTTGTAAAGCAGGAAAGGGTTAGACCAGCATTTTACTCCACCCAGTGTGTATTTCCTAGGAGATATGAAAAGTGCTCATGGAGGTATAAAAACAAACATGCTCTGTTGGCAAGAAGGAAATGTGAAAACAGTGGTTGGAGCCAGGGGAGGAGGGAGGCATGGGGGTCCTGGTCTTCTGGGGAGGGCAGGATTAGAGGATTTCCTCCTCCTCCTTCAGTAAATTCTCTTGGGTTTTATACAGTTCTGCTTTTGGGGTCATTTCATGTTCTGAAAGTTGGTGCTTTTTTTATTTTTCAAGTTCTCTGAGTTCCTGACAAATCAGCCTACAACTCCCTGCTTCACTCAGTGGCCTGGAAATGTCTTTCAACTGCAATATTGCACAAGAGAGGTGGTTTTGTTGTTGTTTTCAGTGCATCTCAGGCTCCAAGCTATCTGCAAGGGTTTGTTTCATGTTGGATGTACATGCACTTCAGCTGGTGCCCTCATGGAGTGGGACAGAACTGCAGCCTTGGCTGGAGCCTCATGGAATGAAGGGCCAGGTTTGGCCATGGCTCTGGGGATGGCTGGGCTGGTGGGCCAGGGTGGGGTTTGGGGTGATGCAAAGCAAGACGAGGTTGTTTCTCTAGTTGTGGGCTCCATTGAGAAGTTTAACTAAATAAAGAGTGCCTCTTTGGAGTGCTGGTGCTTGCTCCAAGCTTGGAGCTCCATTATTCCACCTTTTGAGCTGGAAATGCCCACTGATGTCTGAGCTGTTGGCTGACCCTGGCACTCAGCTGCTTGTCACCTGTTTCATCCTACCTGTGGTTCTGCCCCTTTTGATGAGCTTCACAGCACTGCAGTTTCAAAATAAATAAACTAAAAGTGAACCTCTTCATTTGGGTCCCACAAACCTGTAATACAGCAGGTAGCCCAGCCCATCAGCTGGTGTGATGAGGCCAAGCAAACCTGCAGGATCTGAGTGGTGTCCTTCTCCAGCAGCATTGGCGTGGTATTTTTGGGGTTCCCCAGATGGAGGAGGAAGGAATGAATCTGACTCCATGTTCTTAGAAGGCTAATTTATTATTTTCTGTTATTATATTCTACAAAAGAAAGCTATACTAAAACTATACTAAACTATACTAAAGAATACAGAAAGGATACAGACAGAAGGTTAAAAGATAATAATGAAAACTTGTGACTCCTCCCAGAGTCCGACACAGCTTGGCTGTGATTGGCCAATAAGTAAAAACAATTCACATACACCCAAATAAGCAATCTCCAACCACATTCCAAAGCAGCAAAACACAGGAGAAGCAAATGAGATAATATTGTTTTCCTTTTTCTCTGAGGCTTCTCAGCTTCCCAGGAGAGAAATCCTGGTGAAGGGACTTTTCCAGAAAAGATGATGGTGACACATTGGTTGTTCCCTCTGGCTGAGCTGTCCCTGTGTTTGTGTCTTTTCTTTGCATAATTCCTAGATCTATTTCTGAGAATTGTGTCCCAGTGAGGCACCAAAAAGGAATGGCTATAGGAACCATTATATTCCATCTCCAGCAGCAGCTGGGAGTGTGGTGCCTGAGCTTGCACCTTTATTTTCCCCCTCCTGGAAAGGTTTCCTCTGGGTGTGTTGGCTGCCCTGGCCAATTCTGCCTCCTTTTTTGGGTGTTTTTCAGTGCACTACCAGAAGATCATCCACAGGGACATCAAGCCTTCCAACTTGCTCTTAGGAGATGATGGCCACGTCAAAATTGCTGATTTTGGTGTCAGCAATCAGTTTGAAGGGAATGATGCCCAGCTTTCCAGCACAGCAGGGACACCAGCCTTCATGGCACCCGAGGCCATCTCACAGACTGGCAAAAGTTTCAGTGGAAAGGTAGGTCTCTGCTCACAGGGGGCTCCTGGGACCCCCAGGCGTGGCACAAAGGGAGTGCCACATCTGCATGCTGACTGTGGTACAAATTAGGGCTGTCTTTCAGTAAAACTGAAGCTCTAATTCTCTCAGTCCAGGCAAAGCTCACGTTGGTGGTTCTGTGCAGTGGGCAGACACTTTGCTGAGGATCCCTGCTAGGCAGGAGCCATGCTAGAGCCCTTTCCCTGCCCCAAGGGAAAGGAGGAAGCCTTTGATTCCCTCCCAAAATAATCAAAAGGCACAGAGGGCTGCTGAGCACCAAGGTCATACCTTGATTTCCTGGAAGTGACAGGCACTGCCAAGGGTGGTGATGCAGACAGAGGGATAGAGCCTAATAGGGATTTTGTTTAATCTGGAAAAGTGTTGAAGTTCAGCCCTGAATGGTGCAATTTCCTGTAAGAAGGGGCAGCTTGCTGGTCTCAGTGGGGGAAGGGAGCAATGCCTGGCCCAGCACAGCCCTCATTCCTCAGGTGTGCAAGAGCTGCCCTTAGGAGCCCAACTTCAATGTGACATAGAAATGTTAGATCCATACAAAGAGTGTTTTCTGAAATGCTGGGAAAATCCAGTTTACTCAGATTATCTGTGTTGCTTCTCCTTTACTCTCTGTTCATGCTCTCTTTCAGGCCCTGGATGTGTGGGCCATGGGAATCACCCTGTACTGCTTTGTTTATGGGAAGGTAAGCTGCCTTTCAGTGCTGGAGCCCTGCACTGCACTGTCTGCCTGCCTTTTAATTCATTCCTTTCCAAATAAAGGCAAATATTAGAGACAAAGACCTGCCTTCTGTAAGCTCAAAAACCCCCCTGCAGCTCAGAAGGGGCTGAGGCTGTGATCTGTGGAAAGGATCATTTCCAGCACTGGGCCCTGAATGCAGAGCTACAAACCCAGAGCAGCATCACCAGCAGTTTGTGGGGAGTTTATCCACATTTCCTGCATTTAGAAATGAGCCAGAGTGTGGATAGAGGTACAGGATTGATCCCAAACTGCTGCAGCACTTTGTGAACCAGATTACAGAAAGCTCTGGCTGCCAGAGCTGAGTTGGGACTGATGGGGGATCCAGTTTGGCAGAGGCAGCTCTCCAGTGCTGCCTTCTGCACACCCCGTGTCCTGTCATGGCTTTTCCCTCCCCTGTGGCCTGAAGCCCCATGTGCCACCCCTGCTGTCCCAGGATGAGCAGAACAGGAGGTGTGAGCAGCCTCTGAACCTCTGCCCTCTGCAGATCCCACCCCACGGGCACCAGGCATCCAGCTCTGGGTGAGAAGTGGCCAGGGGAGGTGACAGAGGCAGTTCATGGTCACCTGGCAGGCTGGATGAAGGAGGGTATTCCAGTCCACTTGTGTATTCCCCAGATGCTTCTGCTGTTATTCTGAATTTATTTTTTTAATAAGGAATGAATCGATTTATTGTATGTGGGGAGATTTAATTTATTTCCATCTCTGTGTAAAATCCAGGGAGTGCAGAGGTTGTACTTGGTGTTACATGAATGACAAATGCCTGAGTGATGCCAGGATCTTGGACAACTGGAAAATCTCTTTGTTTGTTTTACAGTGCCCTTTTATAGATGAATATATTCTGGGTCTTCATAATAGGATCAAGACCAAGCCTGTAGAGTTCCCAGAAGAGTGAGTAAACTTTACTCAGCTGCTGTAAAATAAAGTTCAGTGTTCAGCATTATTCTCTGTGTGGCACAGTGGTCACCAGGGGGGGATGGACATGGGTGGGTGAGGTGCTCTGTGTTCTCCTGGGTCCTTCCTGTGGGTTTTGTGCTGGTGTTGAGGTGTTCAGAGTGCTTCTGCTCCTCCTCTGTCCTTGCTGTGCAGACAGGGACTAAAGGAAGTGGCTCTTTGGAAGTGAAGGGATTCCAGGATCTTGGAAGTTCTGCCCCACCTACTGACTCTGGAGATGCTGGATGCATGGTTTGGTTGGGGTTTTCTCTCTTCCCCTGCAGCAGCCACCAGAATGATTTAATGTACTCATTTTCAAAAGCAATGTGATAAAGCTCTAAGTAAACACATCCCTGTCCTGTGGCCTTCCCTTGGAGCAGGGGAACTGTTTGATGGAAGGGTGCTTGGCCTGAGATGTGCAACCACAGCTTAGCAAATCCCACTCCTCCAGCACACCCCAAGACAAACATGGGTCTGTCTTCTGCACTGGCAAAGAGGAAAAAACCTGGCAGTTATGGAAAAACCAGGAATTGATTCACCTGTGATCTACTGAGGGTCTGCTCCCACCCTGCTTTGGTCAGGGAGGGGAGCCCCTGTGCAGTGCTGGGGTGCTCAGGTGGGAAGGCCAGCTGTGGTGACAGCATGTCCTCAGCAGGGAAGGGGACAAGCCAAGGCCACTCCCATGGCATTGAGCAGTGCAGGTTCAGTCCTGAGCTATAAGTGCTCATGGTCAGAGTGTGGCAGGAGGGTGACACTCCCTGGTCACTATTCCTGGAGCTTCAAGTGTTGGCCACTCCTCAGCATTTCCTCCAGCTTCAGGCCTTTGGTGCCTTCCTGCTGGTGAAGAGTTTGTTTCCCCTGGTTCCTGACAGATGAATTAGCCAGAGCTGAACTCTTTGTTTTCCCTCCCAAATCCACACAGTAGTCAGGCAAAGAATTCTTGACCTAATTGTTCATTCCAATAAAAATGTATAGATTAAATGACTTGATTTGGAGCAAGCACAAATTAAAACTCTAATGAGAGGCACGTGTGGTATTGGAGAGGCAGGGATGGATGTTGTGAGGCAGCCTGGGTATGTGCATGTATCCAACATCTATGGCAAGGCAAGACTCTTCTGTGAGATGCTCACTGAATTTTCACATTACAGTAAAGGGCTGGGCCTGTACCTTGACAGTCCCAGACTTCTTCTGATTGCACAGAAAGGGATGGATACTCAGGATGGCCTCTTTTAGACACCTGGGCTGCATTAATTGCCCTGCACTGAGAGGAGCCACAGCCACTGCAGGCAGCTCAGTCCCTCTGCCCAGCTGGAGCCTGCACAGGACCTGCAGCTCCAAGGCCCTGGGGCTCAGCCCACTTTTAGGGCACACACAGACCCCAATGTAGGCAAAGAGCAACTCTGGCAGGCCCAGACTGAGTGACTGAGTTGAGGCTTTAGGAGCACAAAGACTGGTCATGCTCCACTGCTGTGTCCCTACCTGCAGCTGGAACAGGACTTTGTCTTGACAGCACTGCAGCAAAAAAAAATCCCCAAACCTGTTTATGTTCCCCTGGCAGTTTTCTCCTTTGCTCAAGGCTGGCAAAACTCCCACCCCTCCCTCAGCCACCATGTATTTGGGTTAGCAGTCAGCTTACAAGTGACTGTTCCCATCTGCCTCTGCAGTAAGTTATTAACATTTAATGGGCTAACTAGGTTGTGCTGAGATCTGTTCCTTCATTCAGGCATTTCCTTCAGCCATAATTGGGCTGCATGATTTATGTGGATTCCTTAGTGACCTGTTCTCCCAGTCTAAAAAAAGCTGCACCCTGATTAGGTTGTTGGAGGAGCTGAGGGTTACTAGGTGTTGACAGCTGTCCAAACCACATCTGTTTGTTAGAGGCAGCCACAGAGACATGGAATTCACTGGAGTGGATCCACCCTGACCTCCCAGAGAATTAGCACCTCTCTATAGTGAGAAGTATTTTGGTTTCAATTTATTTCACCATGGCTACAAAAGACACATTCCTGTTTGCAGAGTGCCCATGGAAACTCATTGCCTGTTTCCTGACAACCTTTAGGACAGATGGATCTGACTGTACCGGTGTCACCATCCTGTCCCTTCCCTTAGAGACACCAGGATAAATATTTATGGCACTGGAGTTCTCATTCATGTCACTGAGTCCTTGGCATGACACGAGGTAAATGGGCTTAGCTCACGCTCTGAGGATCCTGGCGTGACTAAAAGCAGGCTGAAGTTTCTCTTCAAACGTGTCAGCAGAGCCAGCAGCTCCCTCCTGGTGAAGCCCAGGACGATGTTCCCTGAACTGCAGGCACCCTGTAAAGTGATCTGGGTGCTGGCAACCCTCCTGAATGGATGCTGAGCTCTGTGCTTGGCATCTCCCTGAGAGCTCTTACAGGACTATGGCTGTGAGGAATCCCAGAGAGTGCAGGCTTTTCAAAGGAAAAATGCTACCAGGCACAGTGTTCACACTGCTGCAGACTGGAGAGAAGGGAAACCTGAGACAGGGTGATGTGATCTGTTACCTGGCCATAACCCACCTGACACTTTGTGATCCTGTTGATGGGGCTTTTCCCTAGGACTTCAATCCTGTGTTATGTAAAAATCAGTCTGGTGCCCAGAAATGTTAAGTGATTTTATATTCCATTTATTTTATTTCGAGTAAAGCTGTTGACACTTTGGCACAGAACTGATTTAAAGTATTTTTTAAAATGCCATCTCACCTGCATCATTGTGGTGTCTGGAAGGAATCTGTTCATTCTGGGCTGCTGAATGCACTGTCAGTGCCTATGGCTGTTCCTCTGGAGCTTATCCCAAGAGCAGCACCGGTCTTTCCATTTCAACTGAAATTATCACCCAAGTCTCTGAGGACTCATCCTGTTGTTCCCCTTGTCTGGGCTCTGCTGCCTGTGTACAGCAGAGCCTTGATGCAACTCTAAGTGTTTAGACTTCAAACTGAACCCCCTTTTTGCCTCTGAACAAGCAGCATTTCCTTGTGGTTGTTTGTAAAGATCTCATAGCCAAAGTCCCAATAAAATATTCATGAATTATTAAACAGCAGCTCTGTTTTCATCAGACTGAAATATCCCTTGCTGTGATGTGGTTTGCATTTTGGTTTGTGATAGTTTATTCCCTTCTCTGCAGAGGAGGTGGGCACAGCACCTGGTGCTCACTCTTGTTTTCAGTCTCAAATCCAACCTTCCTGGGGAATGACATTTTGTGCTGCTAAGTTCCATCTCCATGAAGAAGCACAATTCTTCTAGAGTCATTTGTGACACAGACTTTCAACTGCCTAATACAATTCAGTCACATGCTGGCATTTTAGTGCAACAGCACTTTGATCATTCAGATCCTGCATTTTAAAGGCATCTCCTGCATCATTAACCACAGGAGTCATTGCAGCCTTTGGGCTGCAGCACCAAGGGCTCCATGTCAATAGAGTGGCTTCTGGGTTCAGGTGCTCTCATATTTACATCTTGGAAATAGTGTTAAAAATTTAGATATATTTCTCTTATTTGCATTTGTTCATTCTCTGCTGTTGTTACCCCAAGGCTGAGCTTTGCAGGTAGGGGATACTGAGTTACAGGCTGCCTGCAATCTGTGTTCTGGAAGCAATTTAAATAACACAACCTGCAAGCTTAGCTGGGGACTTGGATGTCAGATGGGGGTGTTCTATCCAGCATACAGTTGCTCATGATGCAAGTTCAGGAAATCAAGCTGTGCCCCTCTTGATTCACAGAGTTCAACTCCAGTTCTGCCCTCAGGAGCACTTTGTTGTTCCAAATCTCCCCACAGAAATTCCCCTATGTAGTACAGTCTTCAAGAATGTCCTTAGACCCCCTTCACCTGATCCCTCATCCTGCATTTTGAGCGTGTGCTGCTGTGTTAGGGGGCAGAACAGGATAACCAAGACAGGATAACCAAGCCCTGCAGCAGTGACTCTGTTGCCTTCCTTTTTTCCAAGCCAGCTTTGCAGAGAAGGTACCTCCTGAGCAGAGCAGATTCTCTACCAGGTACCTGCAGTAAGAACTGTGCATTGCTGCATTTACAACTCCCTTGTTAACTGTGTCCTGCTGTTTTCTTCACTCAGAGCACAGATAAGTGACGAGCTCAAGGAGCTGATACTGCGCATGCTCGATAAAAATCCAGAAACAAGGATAACAGTCCCTGAAATAAAGGTAAGACATTATCTAATTGATATTAGAGCTTTTAGTCTCAGCTGATTTTATGTCCTTTGGTACCTTCTAATGAGGCAGAGCTGTCCCCACTGTTTGTGCTGGGAGCTGTCTCTAGCACCCTCCCTTGGAGAAGGAGAGCACTCATTTTGCAGCCACAGCTCCAATACTGCTTCTTGCTCAGGGAATATTGACAAAAGCTTTCTTGTTTGCTTATTTAAATGAAAACTACTCAAAAGCTGGCTGATCTCAGTGAATCCCTGGGAGAATCAGCATTGTCAGGGGAGCTGCTAGCTGCTGAGCCTGGGCTGGCAGTGTTGGATGTGCATTCCAGGGACTGGATGTGTGTTCCTCCGCTGGTCCTTGTGTGGCCAGTGGCCTCAGGGCAGCACATTTTTTTTTTTTATCACCATTATTTGGGAGATGTTTAATAATAGAAAAAATGAACAGGCCTGGCAGAGCACAATGCTTCACACGTTGTGGTTTCATTCTGAGTTTGTGTGGGCTTGCTGTCCTCCTGTCACCCCTCACCAAGGCTTTAGACCTGCTGGAAGATCTCAAAATTTCCATAGAGATCCCTCAGCGTGCTCTACAGGGCAAGCTCTGCTTTGCTTTGTCCCAGGCCAACACCAGTATTGCCACCAAAGCTGACACTAGAAAGGCTGAGCTTCAGGAAAAAATTGTGACATCCCTTCCCTCTATGCCCAGGAGGCCAAAGGCAGGTTTGGAGCTGTATTTATGGGATTTCACTTGACAGCTCTTGCAGGCACACTGTGAGACCCTGTGGGTAGAAGAGCAGAGCTGAGTGTCCCTGGCTGGTGTCCCTGGGGACTTGCCTTGGACTCTGACAGAGGATGTGTCAGGCTGGGCTCTGTGCTCAGCCCATGCCCTCAGACAGGGCTTTCCTCCTGCTCCCAGCCAAGAAACCATCCCATGAGAGGCAGCAAGAAAAGGGGGCTTTGCTCTGCTGCATGCAAGACAAAGAATGAAAATGCTCCAGATAACTCAGGTTGTCAAAGTGTTTCAAACTTGATTCAGAGAGTGCCATGGTGCTGGTGGGTGGCAGCAGGTGTGACAGCACTGAGCCAGACTGCAGCCATTTCCAAGGAGGCTGGTTAGAAACCACCTCTGGCAGTGGGAGAGGGAGTAGTAGTGACAGCAGTGAGGCCTGTGCCCCGTTTCTGTGGCAGCCCAGAGCTGTGTGTCCCCGTGCAGGTGCACCCCTGGCTGAGCCGGGGCGGCGCGGAGCCGCTGCCGCTGGAGGAGGAGCACTGCTCCGTGGTGGAGGTCACCGAGGAGGAGGTCAAGAACTCTGTGAAGACCATCCCCAGCCTGCCTGCTGTGGTACGTGGGAAACACACCACCTCCTCTGAGCAGGGGGCTGGGCTGAAGCCTTCAGCTGCTGGAGGAGGTTTGGAGAGGGGACATGTGTGTTCCTGGCATGAAATCTCAGCAGTCTGACCTGGTGGGAACTTCTTGTGTCTGACTGCTGCAGCAGCCTGGCTCTCTCAAACAGCTTTGCTTCGTGCTCTTTGCTGTAAAATGTCAGCTGAATTATTAAAGAAGCTGTTGTTCCTTCTTTGAACTGGCTTCCAGGAGCCAGTCCTGCTGTTCTCACTGCTCTGTTCTCTTCCTCAAAGATCCTGGTGAAGGCCATGCTGAGGAAACGCTCCTTTGGGAACCCCTTTGAGGTGCAGACGAGGAGGGAGGAGAGATCCATGTCTGCTCCAGGGAACCTGCTGATGTAGGTACCTACAGCCGTGCTTGGCTCTGCAGCACAGCCTGGGCCAAGGCCTGTGGGGAGGAAGGGTGGGGGAAGCACTTTGCAAATCTCTTCTGTAGCATTTAAAGGCAAAACTCCCATCTGCATCAAACACTGGAGATAAAACCTACCTCAAGTCCTCTCAGATTGAAGTGCAGTGTAATGCTGCAGCCTAAAAACTCTTTTATAGATGCAGTTCTCTCTGTAAGATAGGTTTGGCATAAATACATGTAAGGTGCTAAACTTGAGTCTGTTTTTTCACCTGATAGTTTATAATTCTGTGATCAAAGATCCATTACAGATTGCTGAAGTGAAATAAGTTTAATTAGGTTCTAGTTCGGATATATATTGGAGGGTTTAATTCTTCTCTCCTTTCTATGGACCACAGAAATGGTACCAAATGAGCAGTTTATGCAGGTTTTTTAACACAAAATGAGATTATGGGATTTGACCTGGGGTCTGGGACCCAAGTCTGGGCAGAGACATCATGGTCAGACAAAAGAGAACACTTTGAAATTGCCTTTTCACTCAAGAACACATACAGTGTTTTTTTCCACACAGTTTTTTGCCAGTTAATGAAATAGTGGAACACATTGCAAGGGGATACTTTGGAGGGTGGGTATAAATTACTATATTGGGATTAAAAAGGGAATAGAGATCTTGATGACTAATAGATTCATCATCAGTTTTTAACCATGATGATGTGTACGGGGATGGGGAGAGAATTCTTCTGTCCTTTGCTTGGTTCTTACTCTTTCTCCTTCATTTTTGTCACTGATTCCTTTCAGAGCCAGGATTCTGGGTCATCAGTCCAGTAAATAACAGCTAGACCAGTAGCCTGATCTGGGACAATTGTTCTATAAATAAAGTTCTCGCCCCACAAGATCTATAAGGCTGTGGCTGACAACAAAGCTGTGTTGTCCCAAAATGATTCTTTTCCACCCAGAATCCCAGTCCCATTCCTAGCAGACTCCCAGGAGGGTGTGCTGAGCCTCACTGCACCACTGATAACACAATTAGAGGAGTCTCTGTCTCTCACAGGTGTATGGGGATTTCAGGGCTCAGCTCAATTAAGGATGATCATGTTCTAGGTCCCCAGCTGGGTATTGGAGACTTAATGAAGACTTTGTCTTGCTGTCCACTGCCAGACACCAGTTTGGCATTTAAACACCCTGCTCATGAGTGCTGCTGTGGGACACATCTGGAGCATGGCAGTCACAGCTCTTAGCACAAGGGATTTGCCCTGATTTGTTTCTCTTCATTCAATGGCTTCCAAATTAGTTATTGCTAATTGGACACATGTCCCTACTCACATCTTCACTATCATTCCTGGTGACTGCATTGCATTGCTCTGAAATGGGGAAACGTTTACTAAATTTGAAAAAAAATGTATTTTATTCTTTCCACTGTCCCAGACAGGTAACTTGGAGAGCAAGGCAGACTTTCTTTTCAAACCCAGCCTGAACTGATATTTCAGGGTGGTAACCCTGGGCCTGTTTCCAAAAGGGACCTGTTCCCTTCTACCTTCATTTGAGGTGCTTGAAAACTCACCCAGGTGGTGGGAAAACTCCTTGACCCTTGATGCTGGTTCCTGCCTGGAGCTGGGGGCTTTAGTATCTCCTTAAAACCAAAGTTCATTTGATCTCAGGTAGCTGTGAAACTTCTGATCAGCCACATTATCAATGTCTTGTCCTTTATAAAATATTCTTAGGCTTTCAAGATGAGCTGTAAGCCTCCACTTTTGTCTCCTTTTTAAAGTTGCTATTCAGATTTTTTTCAGTTCATTGAAACCCAGCATCTTTCCCTGTCTCAGCTCATTCTGGTCCTGTGTGTTTTCAGACTCCTTGTACAGACTAAAAGATTTATTTTTATAGTAGTGTGTCATTTCCACTGTTGTGCTGCTGTGTCTGGTGCCCTTAGTTTACAAAGCCATGCCAGGCCAGGGAAGGAGCTGCAGCCATGCTGGGCTGGCCTCTGCCCAGCTGTGTGAGCACTTAGAAATATCCAAAATCAATATGAATGTGCCAGTTCTCCACTGCACCAATCCCTGTGCTTAATTTCTCAGTCTCATGCCATCAGTGCCAATTTTTGGCAGTAATAATTGACTTAATCCTAAGTTATTTCATGCACAACTGGAGCTTTGAGAACCCATCTCAAAACTGTTGTTTAAAAGAAAGATACTTGCCAAGTCTCTCCAACAAATGGTGTTGTATATTAAACACCACAGCAGGGATGCTCCTTTTAAGGCATATGGATTAATATTATTTCAAACTTTGGAAAACATTTTACTGACTGAATCTAATGAAAATAACTTCAAATTTAAATAGATGTGTTGGATCTAATGACATTAATCTCAAGTGAACCACAGCTAAATGGGAAATATTCATTGTTCAGTAAGTTATCTCTTGATGACAGTGTTATTTCCTCTGGGGCAAACAGAGTAGACACCCAGCTCATCCACTTCTTAATTCATATTGCTTGTTCCCTGGAAAAACCACCCTTGCTACACATATAAAGTGCCAATGTTATGATTTGAGCTGTGTTAAAATAAGTTTCAAGTGAGTCTGGATTTCTGTAAAGCTTTAGGATCATGCAGGAGCAGATAATATTGCTGTAGTAAGGCTCTGCAGAGAGTTTCTGCATGTCCATCATGCTTGTAGCTGCACAGGGACCCCAAAATTGGGACCTGCCAGAAAAGCAGTGCCTGCAGCCATCACTGTGCTCTGGACATGTGGCTGCCCTGGAGGAACTGAGAAAAAAATGAGCCACACATTGCCAAGCTCTCCTGCACAGAGCTCCTTGTCCCAGTGGCAGGGTCTTCAGAGGGACATAAGTCAGATTTTGTAATATTGCATCTCCTTCTGGTTGTAGGTAGGAAATAACTTGTTGTGTTTCTACAGAAAAAGAAAAAAAAAAGGAAAGCAATTAGAATACTCCAGTTTCACATTCAATTTATTTAATTGGGCTGAATGTGAAATTGCCAGGGCCCCACTCACCGCTGCTTCAAGCATCTTACATCCGTGCCATTTCTGAGGATACACTCTGTAGGAAATCCTCTGGCAGTGAGCTGAGCTCTGGTACCAGAGCTTTCTGCTATTTGATGCCTAATTGATGACTCTTAAAATGGAGCTGTCCTTCAAGCTCACTCTTTGGGATTTGGAGAGGAGGAAACTAAATAATGTGAATCTTTTTGTAATTTCTCCCTGCATTACCTACACAGCATGCTGGGCTCTGTCCCTGGAAATGCTCTGGGCAGATATCTGTGGTAGCAGCAGGGCTTTCCTGCTGTGGCCTTGATGCCTTTAGAGGACACCATTAAGACACCACTGATGTGAAACAGTTCTGAAGTCAATACTGGGAGGACAGGACATTTTTTTAACACTCTTTAGACCGGGAAGAAGTGAATCCTCTCCTAGCTGTTATTTATTGCTCTGTTTATCAGCACTGAGCAGTTTAAAAGGCAGATGTTCAGTGCAGACACACTCAGCAGGTGGAGGGGAACTAAAAGGATGATGCCCCATTTAGCAGTCGTTGTTTTGCACACCTAGAATGGTGTGAGAGCTGCCAGCTGTCACCTCCCTGTCAGCTGGGCAGTGTCACTGGATCCTGCCTTTCCTGCAGGATCTCCCAGGAGAGGCAGTGATTCATGGAGTCTTACAGATCCTGCAGACCATGGCCAGGTTCAGGCCCATCATTAATGGTGGCTGCAGAAGCAACTGATGTTTTCTAATGTTCCAGCTCCAGAGTATTTTTTAAGCCCAGTTCAGCATTCACAGCTAAGTTCTGGATTTCTGGTAGCAGTGTTTGCTGCATTTCTTCTGCCTTCTCCACATTTCTCCTAACTGAGTCAGCCCTGGTTTCACCACATTTTATTGCTCTCATTTATTGCAAGTACTACCTATCAAATTAATGGCTGTGTTTTGACAGACCCAATTTACTTTCCCATTATGGCTGCTAATACTGTTGATGAAATGTGGTTGTCAGCTCCTCTGTGGGAGATCAGTTGGTATTTAAAAAGCCTACCCTGTTTCCAATCTTCCCAAAAAGAGACCAGAAGGGTCACTGCCCTTAGGGGCATATTGTCCATGTGGGTTAGGCACAAGGAAGCTAAGGGGGAAAAGGAGATAAAAAAAAGTGAGAAGTGGCTGGCCCTTCTGGTCTCTGAGCAGAAACAGCTCCTCCCAAAGAGAGAACTGCATGTTTGTGGGAAGAGCCATGCCCCACATGCAGGTGGGTGTCCTCAAAGGGCTGTGGCACAGGATTTTCCTCTGGAATGATCCACCACCAGCAGTGAGGGGACCAGTGCTCCTGGGGCTCTGCCCCATTGCACAAGGGATACAAAAGCCCAGAGGTGGCAGGGCAGCACACCTGGACACCAGCAGTGTGTGGGGAGCCATCTGCAGCTTTCAGCAGTGGTAAGGGCTGGAGAGGGTTTGTTCCAGTGCTACCAGTGCCTGCCTCATCTGTCCTTAGGTAAAGGTGGCTGATGTTCCATCCCCATTCCACTCTGCACTCTAGGCTGGACAGGCACAGAAATACAAGCTCCTTCACCTGCTGCCATTGTCTTCATGATCACTTTCTTCCTTTGTCTCATTGTTTTGCTCTCAGGGACAGATTCCTCTTAAACACATCTGTATATTTGCATCCATCTTTAAGGTAATTCCATGTCTGTGTTTTCCCTGGGTGCTGTAGAAACCTGTGTCCCCTGCTGAGCCTGTGTGATTTGTGTGGTAGTGAGAGCATTTGGCTCCATCCTTCCTTCCTGTAGGAGCAGTTTTACTGCAGTCATTCTGTGTGTGTGACACTAATGTTTATGTATACTTTTTATTATTATTTCTATTTGTGATTCTTTGGGCTGCTTTTAGGGAGGGAGGGGTGAAAAAAACCACTTGGGTTTTAGCAGGAAGTGGTGCTCAGCTCCATTTGCAGAGGGAATAGCTACAGAATTTGGGAAAGGCTGAGCTTTGGAATTTGAGTTTAATATTTAGTAGTTATGCAAAAGAAAGGGCTGGAGCCATCTCTCCTCCAGATGCTCCACCACTCCCTTGTGCTTCTGCCTCTGCTGCAGCACTGGGAGGGCTCAGGGCAGACCAAAACTGGTTGCTCCAAGTGACCACCCCAGCCAGGACTTCATCAAAACGTGATCACTTGTTCACCACTTGCACAGACCCTTCTAGGAAGTGTTGGTCCGGTTAATTCTGTTAAATAACAAAATAACATTAATGCAAACCATGATGAGCTGCTTACAGACACCTCAGTGGGAAGTCGTAGGATCCAGTGGTAGGCAGGACACAGCCTCCAGCCAGGCTGGAAGATCTGGGCTGAGAGACTGGGAAACAACCACACATCTCTAAATACCTTTGGGAGCAGCTCCAGCACTTTGGAGATTCTGTCTGGCCTGGTTTATTGCTCTGAGACACATGGATGGGCCAGAGCCAGGATGTCACCTGCTCTGAGTGAGGAAGGACTTGCAGAGATTCTCCAAAAATAGCCAGGAGAAGGCAGGCAGAGGCAGATGGGGAGTGCTGTGGTGCTACTGCCTCCTGCTGCTGCATTTCCGTAGGGAGGAAGGGACTCAAGCAGCCTGCATTGAATGGGGGCTCCTGGAAGAATTAAGCACTTGCCAGGGGTGTGTGTTTGTGCTGTGCTGGTTGTCCCACAGCCTCCCTGTCCCGTGCTCCTGTGTTTGGAGGGCAGAGTGGGGAAGCTCACTCCTTGTGGGACATGAAACTCGTGTGAATCCCCAGTGGCTGTGATCCCCCCACAGCCATGCACTCTCCTGGGTAACTGCACAAACCAGGCTTTGCTCCCCTGTGGTTTACAGAATGTAGGAGAAATAGAGTCTTATTTCTCACCAAGAGTTATTTACTGGAGATTCTCATCCAGCCTCAGGCCTCTCAGCAGCAGCCTGGCTCCTGTGCAGACATGGAGCTCTGGTACTGCATCTCTGCTGCTTCACAGGCAGCCCCAGCTTTTTGGCTGGTGTTTGCCACCCTGAGGGTCCTCTTAGCCTGACATGGAGGTGTTTGGAGAGGCAGAGGCTGCTCAGAGTGGTGGGACAGCATTGAAGACAGCCCTGACAGGAACAGGATCAGCAGGATGTGCCAGACAGGGAGCTGGGCTGTGCTGAGCTGCCACAGAACAGAGCTCCTGCTGCTAAATGAGGTGATCAATCATTTGAAGAGGGAGATGACAGGCACTGAAGGCAGGGCTGTTCCTCAGCCTTCCCTGTCCATGGGTTCAAGGTCAGGTTTATTGCAGAGCTTTGCTGAAGTGAAGGGAGAAGGGAACATGATTTTTGATCATTTCTGGTTTCTTCAAAAATTAGGTTAGCCCTGTGTGTACTTTGTGTTGTTCCTAGCCAGGAAATACCCCCAGAGCCCCCAAACACTGTGTCCTCCAGGCACATGCAACAGCACTGACGCTCCACTGCCAAGCTGGCTTGTCCATGCAGGTTCTACAGAATGCCCTGGCACAGGATGCCCAGAGCAGCTGTGGCTGCCCCTGTCCCTGCAAGTGCCCAAGGCCAGGTTGGATGGGGCTCGGAGCAGCCTGGGAGGGTGGAAGGTGAGGTGTCCTTGCACATGGCAGGGGATGGACAAGGTGATCTTCAAGGTCTCTTTCCAACCCAAACCATTCCATGATTCTGTGCTACAGCCAGACTGCTGTGAGCAAGGCTGGACACCTGGGAGAGACAATACTTGGAAATGATCACCTCCCTTGTGTTGTGGATATCTTTACGATGGAGAAATGGGTGTTCTAGGTGAAGTCACCTGCCTGTGATCAGTTTCTGCTGTGGGTGGCACCTGGAGGTGTCTCCTTTTCTCCATCCAGGGACAGTCACATGCTGTCTGGGGGGCGCTGGGCTGGGTGCAGGTGCTGCTCCTCGAGGGTGCCCTGGAGTGCAGTACAGCTCAGCCTTCTACATAGGAAAACATCCAAAGTTAGGAGTAGGAGGAAAAGGCTGAAGTTAGTGTGGTGTGTGTTCAGTGCAAGGAAGTGACCTTGGCTGAGGTTTTAGGGCTGCTGCTCTCAGGTTTTGGGGACTGCTGTTTTTGGGGACCAGGCAGACTCACAGAAACCAAAATCACACAGTTTTTGTGTAGGAAAAACTGGGTTCTGGTAGAAACATTTAGCTTTACTGCCATTTACAGCAGCACTCTGGAGAAGCAGCTGTGGGAACAACCCATCCCTCTGATCTTTATTTAAAAAATCAAATTAAAGGAGAGCAAGCCAGAACTCTCCAAATGCAAACTAGAAACCATGCTGCTGGTCTGCAAGACTTTCCCCTAAAACCATATACCTCCTCATGAAGAAGGGCATTCAGGGAAGTGGAGTATGACCAAAGGGGTATCGGGGACAGCCAAAGGTGACACAGAGAGTCCATCATCAGAAGGCTTGAAAAGCACTTCATTATTGGAAATCTACAGTTCTTATAGAAACAATGGTGGACCTAAGACCTGATTGGCCTTTAGGAATCTTCTCTCACACTACTGGTGAACTATGAATAGCACACTCTGGAGAACCATATCTATAAACAATGGTTACAGAAAGAGAGATAATAATTGTTGGAATTCTTTCCTCTTAAGTTTCCCACAGCTTCCGCCCAGCTTCCCAGGATTTTCCTGGGAGAACCATGGCTCTCTCTATTCAGAGGACATGTAATTACTACAGTGGAGAGATCAGTTTTTGGGAGCAGGTGTCCAGGCCAAGCTGCCCATCCACAGGGCATCGTGCTGGGATATTGCTGAGTGTTCACATAGTACCAGCACAGCAGGCTGGTTCATTGCTACTCCCTGTTGATATAAACCCCCCCTGCCTTGCTGTGTGCCCACAATGACTTTCTTTCCTCACCACCCGTGCAGAACACAGGGCAGCAGAGAAGCAGCCAGGGACCCGGAGCTTCCCGACGTGTGCGAGGACGAGGCCGCGGCCTGAGGGCGCGGCTGCCTGGGCTGGCTGCCCTCACCCCCTCATGGCCCTCACCGCCCAGCCCGGGCCCTGCACGGCAGAACAGAACCAGCCCGAGCCCAGCAGGAACAGAGCGAGCCAGGAAAGCTGGGTTGGAGGGCCTGGGCTGGCTGCCCTCACCACCTCATCCCCTCACCGCCCAGCCCGGGCCCAGCAGAGTGGAACGAGCCAGGAAAGCCGGGCAGGAGGACCTGGGCTGGCTGCCCTCACCCCCTCATGGCCCTCACCGCCCAGCCCGGGCCCTGCACGGCAGAACAGAACCAGCCCGAGCCCAGCAGAGTGGAGCGAGCCAGGAAAGCCGGGCGGGAGGATCCGAGGAGCAGCGGGAGCCCTGCACTCCTCCATGCGTGCCTTGTGCTTCACCCCAGGAACGCGGCTGTGCTCCTCTCAAGGGTTCTTTTCTCCCCAGAGACGTTCTCCTTGTGTTTTTGTGTTCTCTACTTCAAGCATCAGGGGGAAAAAAAAATGGCATTAAAGACTGGTTTTACGAGTCTCCTCGAGCCAGGTCTCATAATGTCTTGGAGATCTATTTCACACCCAAGATAGCTCAGCTACCTTAGAAGGCATAAAATCGCAGGATGGCTCCTGTGGTAGTGTTGGAAAATAAAAGGTTTTAATAAAAGGCAAAATAACAAACTCTTCACAGAGAAAAACCAAGCCAGGTGTAAGAGTCCTTGCCCCTGGTAAAACACCTCACAAAAGTGATTAATTTCTTTGTTCTCTTCTTTTTCTAGTGAATTGCTCTGGCAGGACTTTTTGGCTCCTGTCCAGTCAGCTATCCTTAAGTTTGAGGTGAAGTTTGAGATGCCTTTTCACCTAATCGAAGAGAAAAACTTCAGGGCTTATTTCCTTTTTAAGGGGACAAAGGACAGTTTTGTCACTCCATCAACAGGGGGCACATTCCTGTAGGAGGGCAACTGTTTTATTTAATGCACTTGTGTACATCAGGAGTGCTGCTCCTGGTGTGGAGATGAAGGCAAAATGTCTTTGGATATCAGGGAAATGAGGATGAGATCTTGCTCTTGGAGAGAACATTGTCCCTCTCTGTGTCTTTCTTTCTCTTCCCTTTTCCTGTGGTCCCTCAGTTTTGCACAGTGTAAGTCTTGCTCCCAGCTGTGGCTTTAGTCAGGGCAGTGCTGTAAAGCAGAGGAGTCACACGAGATTCCCTGGATGTGCAGAGAGCCCTGGGATGGCACAGAGCCCTGGAGCATGGGGATATGCTGCCACACAGAACAGCTTAGTGCTCCAGGGACATCTGCCAGGGCTGCTCTTCCCACAGAGCTGGGAATGCACCCAGTCCTGCACCCACGGACCATGGTCTCCAGCTGAAAAGAGTGGCAGATTTGGGCTTTATTTTATTTCATTTCCTTCTCTTTGCTTAATCTCTTGTGTACCTGATGCTTTTAAACTTTAATTTCCTGAAAATGACCCAAATTGGGAGAGGTTCCTGGGATGGAAAATGTTGGTGGAGGGTTTGTAGAAAGATATAGAGCACAAGTTCACAAGTTGATATTTTGATTTTTTTTAAAGGCTTTAATTTTTAATTTCATTTTAAGACACTGATTTTTATGTATATGCTGATGCTGCTATTTCATCCATAGGTTGCTTCTAAACTTGGGGTTAGAAGCTTCATCTCAATAGTTTGATAACTGGTAAGAGATTACACTTAAAAAGGTAAATACAACAAGGCAAATACAGCCATTTTTGTGCCTGTTGACTTACAGACTGTGTGGATAATCAGGAATTTCATTCTTCAATTCAGAGAGTAAAAACCAGTGACATCCATCTGTCAAAATATATGTCATTATTTTCCCTTGAACCTTATGGGGTCTGAACATGCCCCTGGGAAGCCAGTGGGATTGGAATCTTACTTTATACTACTTAAAGAAAGGACATGATTAAATTTGGTTCCTACATAATCATCTTAGTGTCTGCTTTTAGGTTAATCCTGAGGACTTGGGACATTTTTCCTTCATTTTTTGTGCAGGGGGAACACATGTACGAGGTTGTTGGTAGTGACTGGTGTATCCTGGTGCTCCTGTTCTGTTTGCTGCAGTCTCATTTGATGGTTCCAAACATTTTATAGCTGGGCTTTGCTGCTGGTGCCTTCTGTCTGTCCCCAGCCTGTCACCTCCCCTCCCTTATCCTCAGCCACCCCAGTGGGATGCCCAGCACTCCCCAGCCTGGGCTCTTCCTTGCATCTCACTTGTAAATATTGGCAAAATGGGAAAGAACATTGCAGCTTCTCTATTGAATGGAGACCTTTAATGCTGAAAGCTGCTGTTGGATCCTATAAAGGTTGCTGCTCTGGGGCTGAGCTCTGCACTGCTGCTTCCAGGTGCTAAATCCTGCCTGGTTTTTGGTGTCTGCACCAGCTGTGAGCTCAGCATCCTCTGAGGAGCCTGCCCTGCACCAGGAGGATGCCTTGATCCATTCCCCAGCCTGGGACATGGGACTTGCTGCTTGTAATGCAGATTTAGGTACCCAGAGGTAGGGAGTGAAAAGTCTGAGAGCTTTCAGGGGATTCTGCAAATGGAAAAGATTGTCCAGGTGGAACTGCTGCCTGTGGAAGGGACAGTCTGTGGATACAAACTGATCTGGCCTCCACTTTATGGAAAAAACTTTCTCCAGCTGTTGTCCCCAGGACAGGGCCAGGGAGAGACCTTGGAGCAAAGACACATCTCAGGAGCGTGCCCTGCCCCAGGCAGAAAAGGGAGTTCTGGTAATCCTCCTCCCTGTGGGACTTCTGAAGTCTAAGCAATACCTGGGTTGTGCTCAAAGCGCTCTAAGGATGCAAACATTATTAGTTAGTTATTGTATTTTTAATCTGTGGCAAGAATAATTTGCTAACCCAGGCAGCTGGGGTTATTTTAGTGATGCCCAAGGGGTGGGAGCTGGTGGGGAAGGCTGCAGGAAGGCTGTTCTCAGCCCCAATTAATGCAACCAAACAAACTATGAGTTACAAATGAGCTCCATAACATGTTCCTTTAGTGGTACCTAAATCACCACTTCAGTTTTGGAGAGGAATGGATGTTTTTTATGATTATCTCAAAATCTACTTGCCCTTTCAGCTAAAAGAAATCCTTCTGGAGCTGTTCCCACAGGTCCAAGAACCACCCCCTCAAGCTCTGAGCTCGTGTCACACCTTGTTTCTTCAGCAAATCTGCCAACAGGCTTTCCTTTATACCCCAGAAATCACCCCCATAGTGTCACAAACAGCAAAAAACCTGCATGAAATAAGATGAAAAATGTGTCCTGGCAGCAGGAGAAACACTCAGATAGGCAAAACCAGGCTCTCCTCACTCAGCTGCAATGAAATCCTTGCTTGTTTATGTGCATGTTAGAGCAGCTCAGGGCAACTGGTTCTGCTCTGAAGAAAGGAAGAGACTGAAGAGAGGGGATTTATTTGAGAATAAACACCCCAGGCAAGGCAGCGCTTTTAGCTCTTCAGTAAAATCATTCTCCTCAGCTGGATGGGTAAATATTTGTCTGCTCCTCTCTGTGATGGAGGGGATAGGGTTCAGTGTGGCTCTGCAGAGCAGAGAGCAGAGCAGGTGTGGCACACTCATGCTTTGGTGTGCTCTGTGTTTTTCCCCTCCAAATCCTCCCCTCTGCTGCTCCTGGAGCACTGGGATGCTCTGGCCTTGGTTAGCTGGGCTTGGAATCACCAGGAGGGCTCTTCTTTCACCACTCACCATTGCATCTGGTCAAGTTTTCCAGACTCTTCCAGGCTGAGAATGATTTTCTTGAAAGAAATTTCTAATTTGGTGGAACACCACATATCTGTGATCTCCAGGAGGTGGATTTCTTTGTCTCACTCAATTAAAGGCTCTAGGCCTGTGGTTTTGGGGAGTAGTGCTAAGTAAAAATCCTGGTCAAGTCTCTTCTATCCTGCCCTGGGGAACGCACAGTCCATGTCTTTAACTTTCTGGGCAGGAATGTGCTGTTGTCACACTTGCAAGCAGATGAGGTTTCCAGCATCAGGGAAAAAAAAGCTGACTTTGTGTAGGGCTCCAAACAGAGGGAGCCTGAGGAGGAACAGTGTAACTGCTCCGTGCAAAACAAACTGTGGCTCCACAAAACAACTCCCAGGGTGCAGTTTCATTCTTTATTTATTGCCAGACTTGCAAGGAGGAGCTGCTGGGAGAAATGTCTTGTTCCTTCAGCACAACTCTGCCCTAAAACCCTCGGCAGCGCTGCCATGGGGGAGTTTCTCCATTTGTGGTGTGTGGCTGGGAGCTTGTTTGCTCTCCCCAGCTCAGTGCTTTCCTCCCATCTTGCCCAAAACTCCAAGAGCTTTGTCCCACCAGCCCAGGGCTTTGTCCCAGCCCCTGAGAGGCCCAGGCTGCCCCAGGGACAGGGATCTCAGTGGATTTCCTGAGGCAGGAGGGCTGTGCTGGGGGATGCTACTGAGAGCCTGAGCACCTCTGGTGTGCAGCAGAGAGACTGGAGAGCAGAGAGTGGAGGGTTTGTGTGGAAATGGAACTTGGATGAGGTGCCAAACTTTGCTTTAGCAGGGCTTGTTTGTAGTGGATTTGCTGAGCAGAGCAGTGCAAGGCATTCCTTTTTGACCCAGATCCTTCCACACAAGTCCATGCTCGGCCCGAGCCCCTCCCAGGCTGAATCAACCTGCATTATGCCATGACCCTGTTGCTGTGAATGCAGCCTTCCATGGGATGAGGGAAGGAAAGCAGCTCATCGGTCCCTGCCCTGCTCCTTCCCTTCCTGGAGAAAAGCCATGTACGCTCAGAGCTCCCTCAGTACCCATAAGCCATCAAAGTGCTCCCAAAAAATGGTGTAAATTCAAGAAAACATGAATTGCAACCCTTGAGGGTACAATGCAGATCCTCTGTGCTGTAATTTTGCTGCTCTTTCTGATTTCTAGGCCTGTTCTGTTGGTATTTCTGTCTCTTGTTGCACTTGAAGCTGAACCTCTGCCCCTGTATGTGCTCTGCTATGGTTCCAGCATGATGTAAATGCACTCAGTACTGTGACAGCATGCGGCTGTTGCACTGTAAATATGTACCATGAAGAGAGAGGCTATTTTTTGCATGCTTTTGTACTGTAGAACTGATGAGAAAATGACAATAAATTCCACAGAGATGACGCTGGCTGTAAGTGCAGTTCCTAAGGCAGCTGCCAAGCGCAGCCCCAGTCGCAGTCCCCAGACCGAGCCCGGCTCTAAGCTCAAGGTCCCCTTTAGCCCTAAGGCCAGGGCCGCCGCTAAACCCAACCTAAGCCCCGGCTGGCGCTGGCCCCGCCCCCTCGCTGCGAGCCACGCCCAAAGCCGTCCGTCACAGAGCGCTCCGCCTCTCGACCAGTCAGATCGGTCGGTCATGTCCGGGCCCCGCCCATCACAGAGCCTTCTGGCTGTCGACCAATCACGTCACCCGGTGGCGTAGCGGTCCCGCCCCCTGCGCCTCCGAATCGTCACAAAGGCCTCCACTATTTGCTCCGGCCCCCATTGTGTCGTCACTGAGCTGCTATTGGCTGTCGGTGAGAGGGCGGGCCTTCAGCCGCCTATATAATGGGCCGCAGGGGGCGCACGGCTTGGTGAGCGTGCGGCGGCGGCGGCTGGGGCGGGTGGAGCTCAGCGCCCTCGGG